AGTGCAGGTAAAATAATACATCAATCTCTGCAGAGAAGCATTTGAACATCTATCCTATTCGTGTGCGGAGACTGGAATTGTTTGAAGAATTTAGGAATTTGGTTTTTTTCTTGTGATCTGATTCGTAATGCAACTTGTAATGAATGAGACTTTAGGTATTTGCTCGCAAAGACCATCGACGTTGGCGGTATCGGACCGACGTGTTCGTCGACGGTGAACGAATCTTCTTCGATATGCCGTGGAAGAAAATTCAGTTGTTCAAAGGTAACGCTTTAAAAGGGGGTGTTAGATGGGGATTCTCGCCATGGCTACGTCGCTGAGGAGGCAGTGCAAGTTGCGTCACGTGCGCGTCATTCACACCAGATTTTATTTGATTCGAGGTGGAACAGGGGGAATATTTAGAGTCAAGGCCCAATTAGGTAACATCAGCTCGTTGCCGCTAGTCGACGCAACGTCTCCCGATCCATACCCGGACCTTGTTCAACATATGGTCAATTTCATAGTAGGCGGTGGCGTGTCAGAGGAATGGGCGTGGTAAGAAGCCAGCCCCTTTTCCAGCAGCTGTTGTGGCTTGCCCGCTTCCACCCGACATGCCCCAGCATCTCTTGCGAAACTGAAATTAGACTGTCAGTCGCAAACGAGTGGAGTGGGGCTATGTAGGGAGACGTCTCGATAACCTCTCCCCGTGGATTATATTTTCGCAGGAGCGCAGCAGAAAATTCTGCTTTAGGAGTGACAATTCGTTCTCCACCACGAAACATGAACCAGTCGGAGCTGGAGATCATGTTCGCATCTGGTGCAGGTCTCCGAATTGAGGAGAGTCGAGGTCTCTTGAATGTCATCGTTGCGCTACCACATGGATTCAGCGAAGTTGATGGAGTGAGTCGAAGCTTCAGAAAACTTCTGTTTTCTTTGGGACTATTTTTATTTCTTTTTCTCACGGGACGAATATTGCTTTGTTTTCTCATGGGCCGACTATTTTCACTTTCTGTATCCATTACTTTAGCGCCTTTGGGAAGCTCCCAAGGAAGAGCCGTACTTCTGGGAACAAACCACAACTCAAATAATGGTACTCACTCGATTTGACAAATGTTCAACACATTATCGGACTGTTGGACTTCTAGGTATGAGAGTTTCTGAAATTAGCTTGTACTTTTTTTGATATTGTTCCATGATCTCTCTGTTATGGTTCGCAAGCAAACTTGAACTACTCGCGATAAGCGGGTGGGCGGAGACTCACACGTCTTAGGCTCTCCTCATTGGTTCCTCTCTTCTCGTTTCCGTAGCAAAGGGAGGCGTACTTAACTGCAAAGGGCATCATGATAACAACCCCCATCCCTACCCTTTTTTCAACTCATCCGGTTACCTCGACGAATACCTCTGCCTCGGAGGGAGGGGGGAGGGAACCTGTCACTGCAGGGGGGAACCCTCCTCCTTGCCCACATCTCCTTCTCTACTGGTTGCCCAACAATTCTCCTCCTCCACTGGCTGGCACGCGCAGTAGTGGTACATATAGGCACATGTGAATCGGGGAAAAGCGTCGAGAATTGCGCTTGCGCTGCGCGACGGAGAAAGTTTCAAGCTGTTTAAATCGCCCCCCCCCCACCCCCTAGAAAAAAATACGGTTTAAAAATTCCTCAAGCTTAGCAGTCCAGACTTCCTCTCCCCCCTGCCCCATTCGCGGCCGTTTGAGCGAGCAAATACGACGCCCAGGTTGGGGATTCCCCAGTTTAGGACTTTCTCGATCTCAGGTATGCTGGGAATGCAGTCAGCAATCGGTTGCTCGCAGTTTCTTGTCAGTTTATCGTCACACAAGTTTGTTGACGACCTTACCACCCCTGACTGCATGGAGATTCGCACCAATTACCCACAAAGTGAAATGGACGCAAGGAACATCTACTATGAATTTGGGGAACGTTGTAAGTTATAACTTCACATGTTTCTCTTAGAAGACCACTTTAATTGCATAATTACAGGGCGGCTTGATCGTAATCTTCATATTCCGTCGTTGTTCCAGCCTGAACACAAACCGATCTACGACCCGTTGAGGTTAAATTTCACGATTAAATGTTGAATTTCACAAAGCTAGCTGGCTCGAAAAGTCAGTATTAAAAAGACTGAAAGGATTTGGACGCTGTTCGGCTTCGGGGGGGGGGGCATTTTGCATATTTGCTAGTTCTTGTTGACTTACACGTCTAACCTTGGCAGGCCTGTAGACTCTTGCCAAACGTGAACAGAGTTTATGTTCATTTCACAGCTTCACAGGAGTTTAGAGGCCTCCAAGGGAGGCATCGGTATCGATTGATGGAAACCAGCAAAATGCCCCCACCAAACCGAACTGTGCCAGAATTTTTGAGATGGTAAATGTTGATACTGGTATTTCAGCTTCGCTAATGAACAATATCTACCTTTATTCGACCCATGGCTTCACTCAAACTATAGCAGTTGGTCTGGACTCATATTTACTCGAGAGGAAGTTAAAGTAAGTCTTGATAAAACTGTGAAAAGTGATAGCTGCTTTTACTTGCTTATACTCCTTATATCTGCTTATGAGGCGAAGGTGGTGTAGGTGGCAAGTGGCACACTTACCACGAGCGCAGTCCGGGGATCAAATCCTGGATCGGCTCCCGCCCAGGCCAACCAAGCCTTCTACCCTCGGGGACGGTAAATTGGTACCAGATTCGTCTGGGAGGATAAGAACACTGACTTGTACATCGGCTGGCCCCCGCAAGTCATTGTGAAGGCCACATCGCATTCAATAAGCCACTACGATTCTGAGTGGATGCGGGCTCCATCCCAAAAATTGACGGATTGACGGCAAAGACTTTATACTTTTATCCTTTTTTATAGTTGATATCTTCGTATTCAGTCGGGGCGGAGTCCGCAGGGGCGGGATGAGTCCGCTCGATTGCATTTTCTACCAATAGTGATCGGCCAGCGGTCGATTCAGGAAGAGAACACCAGTAGTGAAAAACGCCGCTAAAGGGTTTATTCCATACCTCTTTGCTTCTTGACCCCCCCCCTCTCCGACTGATTGCGACGATACCAACTGCACATACCTGACAGTTTGAACGTACATCCGTTTTACAGGT